TATTTTCCCATGTCATCAAATAATTTTCTACATTATTATTCTGACATTTGAAAAATATTCAGTCTTATGGATGGGTCATGTTTTATTTAACCACTCTCCTATTTTACATTTTCCATGTTTATAATTTTAAACAATTAGATAAAAATTCGAGACAATAAATATTTGGGCTAGAGCCCAAATGTATGATTCTCCTACTCAGCACTGAGTTTCATTCCTGTAAAAGCATAGCTACTTGGGAAATATCGAGGTTGCTTTTTCAGTTGCTTATCCTGAGAGCTCCAGCTAGTGAGGGACAGGGTGGAGACAGGGCCAGGAAAGCCCGCTTCCTGGGGACTTTGCTGTCTAGCTTGGGCCTGTATGCACCCTCTCTCTACAGTGGGCCACTTGTCAGCAGTAATCTGACATGCTGCGGTCCACAGGGAAGAATGAAATCATGCGGGTTCTAGCCTTTGCCACAAACTACCCCATGTCCAAGGACGATTAATGTCAGTGTACCTCTTTTTTCATGTGAGAAGGAGCTAAAAGGAAATACTTGAGATCTCTCAGATATGGTCTGATTTTACAAGTGGGTCTCATGATGCCAAGGACAGGCGACTTCTCTGGCATCATTTCACTCACTCACTCATTCATTCATCCATTCATTGGACATCCTGGAGCGCTTATTCTGGGCAAGGCACCACATTCAACTGCAGAGAGAGTCATAGCTGGGGGACAGACAAGTTCCCTGCAGTGGGGAAAGGAAAGTGGGGGAAGTTAGGAAGGGAAATTGTCTAAAGAGGCACAGAACCGAGAACCGAGAAAGTCTACCCTTCCCTTCAGGAGATGGGGACGACACCTTCACAGAGCAGAAAACTTAAGCAACGTCACTCAGCAAACGTAAGCTGAGTTTTGAAGGAGCAGAAGGTCAGCCTGTTCACAGGGAGGAACCACATTCCAGAAAGAGGAAATTCCTTATGAGGTCAAAAGGCCCAAAAGTGTTGGGTATTCGAATAACAGCACGCTGAGCAGGGGAGACGTTAGACTAAAGAGGAAGCAACAAAGGACTTCAAAAGTTCAGTGTTTCCCACAAGGAAATAATTTCAGGTGGCATATGGACTAACATTTGTTAATGTAATAGCTTCAGTTGAGAAATCCAACTAGCCTGTGAAACTCGTGCCCTAAAAGATAGTATTGCCTAAGATAAAGTAAACAATAAACCTGAAAAAGAGAGCTACAGTTCAAATCAAAATGCCAATCAAACAATAGTGGAGGTAAAACTTGAAAATCACAAAAGGTGAGCAGAAGATGATAGTAGATTAGGCGGTGAGGAACCACTGGATAATCTTAAACTCACAGACAACCTGATCGGTTCTGTACTTTAGGAAGAGCTCTGGAGCCAGTGTAGAGAAGCAGCAATACTGATCCTTGAGGGGGTGGAAGGGAACAGCAGAGGGGACAGCCACTAACAAGGTAGAAGGCACAGAGTTGTCACCACTGGATATGGCTTGTGAGAGAGAAGACATCGGAGGTGGTTGTTAAGGTGTCCAACCGGACGGATGACAGGACCACTGTACAGTAGAAAGAATACACAAAGGAAAAAAAGTTGGGAGGAATGACACTCCATGTCCAGAGACATTCAGCTTTTGTTTTGTTTTCAGACTAGATTTGAACCCAGGGCCTCATCCATGGCAGGCAAATGCTCTACCATTGAGCTGTGCCAGGGGCACCTGCCCTGCTAAGTCTGTAGGTCACAGGCAGGCAGCAAACATATTTGTGGGCCCCAGTTGAATATTTGGAACTAGAAGCCCAGAAAGGGGGGGGCCCAGTTCCGTGACCTCTGGCCTTGAGACACGCTAAAGGGATTAGGAGGGCTGAATGTCCCCCACTGCTTGACAACTTGACTTCTATCTCACAGCCAGCCTGCTGCTCCTTGTTGGGAAGGCAGGAGGTGGGGGATGATGTGCTATTAATTAAGGTGTGCAGTCAGGTTGACACCTGAGAGCACCGCTGTGTCCTCTGCACATGGCGACCCACGTCTCCAACTTAAAGGATAGGAATTAGAAGCCACACCATGTGAGCACCCAAACCTGAGCTCCCTGAGCTGTGCCCAACTCCCGGGCACACAGAGGCCAGCAGCCACACTGGTACATCCAGTCCCTGCAGCCTGCAGAAACCTAACACCTCTCTCCACCCACAGCAGTGTCACCAGGAAATTAACACCCACCGTGGCCCTCGGACATAATTAAACTGAACAAAAAGACAGCTGCTCTTACCTTTCTTTTCTAATCACCCACATGCAGCCAGGGGGATTACTAGCTTTGGGGTGATTTAGGGAGGATTACTCTTTCATTAGTGTCTGGGGTCAGTTCCAATACGACATCCTAGGAGCCTTTTAAGATGTCCTCTCATGTCAACACCATGTCCCTCTCGGTGTCCGAAAGGTTAGATCTTGCAAGCCTTTTGGCAACCTGCTACATATCAGACCCCCAAGTAGCTATTATTTTTTTAAACCAGAAACATCCCATGAAGATGATTTTGTACAAAAAATGAGCTTCTAGGTATCTATGAGAATATCATTCTAAAGCCCCAGCTCAGTGTGGTCTCTAAAAATGATGAGCAGGAAGTGACAGAGTTGAAAGACCCTCGACTTCCCCGTAGTCTGTAGTTATCCACCCTACATCACCTTGCCCTCCTGTGGCTAAGCACAAACAACCAAGTGATGGTCACACAGGCGGAAAAGGCACACGTCCACCCAAGGCCATCAGAAGACAAGGAAGTTTCAACATCATCTCTGCAGGCTAAAGTCTGTCTGCTCAGTGTCCTTTGCTCATTTATACTTTGACTCATCCGGCAAATATTTAGGTGTCTCTCCTCAGTTAGGTGGTGAGCTGAGTGCAGGAGAAACTGATTAGGGAGGACATACACAGGAGACCGTAGACCAGGTGAGGACAGCAGAACTGAGCCAGGGAGTCAGGGAAAGCTTCCTTGAGGATTCGAGGCTTACTCTGAAATCTGAGGGCTAAGCAGGAGGCAACTTGGCAAACAGGAGAGGGAGAGGCAGGTAAAAGAGGATGTGCAGACTACGGGGAGGGGGAAAAAAATCAAATAACCATCAAGAGTTAAAATCATGAAATTAGCTTTTACTGTAAAACATAACACATTGGAAATACACACAAAAAACCCAAATCTGTACTGACTTATCAAATACCATGTAACTACCAAGTGATTAGGAAGACATGCCCCAGAAGTGCCCTCCCATCCCGTGCCCTCTCCCAATGTGTCAGCCCTATTCTAAGCTTTATGCAAATAACCTGCTTTTCATACAATTTTACCAACTAAGAATTCATTTCCAAAGTTGAATTCCTTCACTTTTAAATTTCATGGTGGTAGTGCAGACTGGTGCAACCACTGTGGAAATCAGTATGGATATACCTCAAAGAATAGGACTAGAGGTCTCATTTGACCCAGCTATTCCCCTCCTGGGTATCTTCCCCAAAGAATTAAAAGAATCATACCACAGCAATATATGTGCATCCATGTTTATAGCGGCACAGTTTGTAATAGCTAAAGCTTGGAAATAGCCCAAGTGCCCATCAACTGGAAACTGGATAAAGATGTGGTTTTTTAATAAAATGGAGTACTACTCAGCCATAAAGAATGAAAAACTAGAGTCATTTATAGCTAAATGGATGCATATCGAGGCCATACTCTTAAGTGAAATAAATAGGACACACATGTGTAAATACCAAAGTTTCTCTAGTGTGAGAAACTGAAAGTGTAAACAAGGGTTAAAATGATTAAAATGAATAACTGATAATTTGAAATAGAAAAAGGTCCAAAGAAAAAGGAGTGAAGGGAGGGGAAGGGGAAAGGAAAAGAGGGAAAGGAAAAACTATGAGAAAAGAAAAAAAAATGGAAATGAAATCTATGTAAATAAGGAAGGGCAGAGCGGGTGAAGGACGCACAGCTAATGGGGAAAAAATAGGAACCAAGATACATCATGTACAGGTACAAACAACCAATGATAAATGTAAATGACCTGTATACCTAAAATGTACCAATAAAAGAACTAAAAAAAAAAATTTCATACATCAACAATATAGTAATTAGGGGTTTTTTTGACCATTCACATATTTTTCTTTGTTAAATACATGATAGGGCCGGGGATTTAGCTCAGTGGTTCCGCAGTCCGCCTCGCAAGGGCCAAGGACCTGAGTTTGATCTCTGGTACCAAAAAATGAATAAAAAAATAAAATAAAAGATAAAATTTCTAACTACACTGATCCAAGGCAAAAAAGAGAGATGACTTAAATTACCAATGTTGAACTGGATTAGCCTAAATCAGCTTCTGTACTTGACCAGTAAGTTTGGCCCAAAGTAGTCTCCACATGTAGTGAATTATACCCTAGCTTAATGTGTAAACATTATAAACAAGCAACTTTCAGCCAATCGCAGGCTGCCTAGTGTTAAACCATATTCACATAAGGCATATAAATGTAAGACTACAGCCAATCAAGGTGATTCTACGTGTCACTTTTTTGGGCTGGAATGGTAGGTACATCCATGGTACCTGGGGTACATCTTTGGGCTGGAATGCTGCCCAGTTCTACAATTTTTTTCTTCAAGTAAATTTTACTATCAGTCTGTTTTTCTTTCAGCACAAATAATTAGCAATGAAAAAAGACAAATAAGTAAAAATCTCAGATATTAAGATATAAGGAAATATTATAAACTTTCTGCCTACTAACTTGACAACCTAGTTTATAGATAACAAAACCAGTTAGGTATACAGGAGTATTCTAAAATAAACACTTAAGAAAATTTCTTACCTTGTCCTTAGACCCATCTCCAGCCCCAACTCATTTGAAAAAGAGGATTACATTATCAATTTAGGGGGAAAAAAATCTTAAATGATTGCAATGTGGGTTACACACTAGGAAGTCAGATTAAAAATATGGTCTTTTCTTTTAATTGTACAACCTCCATTTGGCTTAGTGATTCCTGGAAAAAAGAGACATGAACAAGAGACAACACTAGATTTATTAAAGACTGTAATACTACCATTTATTGTAGAAGGGAAAAAAAGCAAAAAATAATGTGACAGGAAGGAGGGAATAGACAGCTTAGTTACCAGTAACATTCTTTTTCTTTGAAATCAGTAAAGGAAAACAATATTATATGAAATAGATTCACAAGAAAGGATAAGTAGTACTCAAGAATATATTTTGTAATACAAAATTGCATTATGCAATCAGTAGCATTCAAAATTAGTTGTATCTATACAATTACAAAAAGTGACTCATTTTAACAGTGTTTTAAAAAGTTCATCATATTCAATAGGCACAGTATTTGTACAAATTCACCATAGGCTTTTAATTTTCTTGGTGCTGGGGATGGAACCTTGGGCCTCGGGCATGGTAGTTAAGTGCTCTACCACTGAGCTACATTCCCAGCCCTCACCATAAGCTTCTGAATGTCCTTACACCCAACTTCACAATTAGAATTTACAAAAGATCAAAGTTCAGAGGGTTATTTTTTTCCTTTCCTTTCCTTATTCAAGTTTGTTAAGTCAAGCAAATATATTGGGGGGGGGCAAAATGAACATTTTTCATAGCAGAAAGACCACAAAATTGAATATAAACTATAGTTCCTTAGCCCAGCCTCACTTCCTGTTGCAGCATGGACTTTCGACAGGCACATTGGTCCAGATTCCAATTTCCTTTTGATCTCAAAGGTTGCCTCACGAAGATGTTATGTCGAAGCAGCCAGCCCATTTAGATCAGAGACAGTATTTCTTTTGCTGTTGCTTTGCTTTTTGGTGGCTATTTATTAATACAATGGCATTACTTCATTGTGACTATATACATCACTACTGTTTGTCACAATGCTGTGGAATGAACTTCCACTTCAAAGAGCAAAGTTTCTCCTGTCTACTGGCCTCATTTTCGCTGGTTTCAGATCAGCCAGTCTATAGAAAACCACTTTCAGGAGCTGGGGGTGTGCCTCAGTGGTTGAGCTTGCTTAGCAAGCACAAGGCCCTGGGTTCCATCCCCGGCATTAAAAACAGTAACAAAAAGTTGCGAGAAAATAATTTGGTACATTTCTAAGTCTAGTGTCAGTTCTCAACTCCTGCTGGGAAGGATGTGATTTTATTTTGTTGACTTGCACTAGCGAAGGCTCCGCTACTCCCCACCCATCATACAGCAGCAGAAGCCCGAGGAGCCAACGGCAAAGCTTGACTATCAGGTGCTGGGCGCCACCCATGCATCTGAAGTAGAAGTGGGAACAACCAAACTGGATCCAAATACCCTGTCCCAAGCGACCTGGGATCAAATAAATCACCACACTCTTCTTCACCAGACTGAAAGCACACAAGATCCCAGAACTTCATAAAGTATGAGTCTGGAGGTCCTTTAAGGTCACCTGCTGATTTTAGCAAATACTTCCAAACAATTTAGACTTCTCGTGTTTTTTTTTTTTATATCAGGAGTTACACAGACATAATCTATACTTAATTTCCACTGCAGGTCTATTCATTTTTTTAAAATGCTATCGGTAAACTATTGTGTGTTAAATACACCCCAAAAATCCTAGATGTTGAAATATTTAAAAAGTATGCCAAAAATTCTAGCAAATTACTTAATATACCTTTAAACACTGATTACTTTTAATTTTCTGGACATTTTTAGCTAGGCTGTGAATTTTAGTTTTTATAATTCTGCAATTGATTCTAGACAGAAGTTCTCTAACAAGAGAAGATAAAGGCCTGGTGTCCGCTGCCCCACAGATTACAAAGTCTGTAGACAGAGCTGTGCTTCAACTTCCCAATTCACTATTTCTCATCACTTAGGTTAAAGAAGCAGAAGCCAAACCAGCCAAATTCTCTACTTTTTTTTTTTGGCAGTACGGGGGATCGAACTCAGGACCTTGCGCTTGCAAGGCAGGAGGTGGCACCACTCAGCCGAATCCCCAGCCCTCCACACTGTTTAAAGGTATCTTCTACTTGTTAATTATTCTAATGGCAGTATCAAAAATAACTGTATTTGGAATGCATTTCATGGTTTTATTTCTTGTTCTCTCAGCACACAGTGATTAGGTGGAAGGGAAGTAGCAGCCAGGCAGATAATGCTCAGGCACCATACAAGGGTAAGGTCAGATGTTGCAGCACGGAGATAACCACACCAGGAAAATGCTCAAGTAGGGGCCATGCTTCATGCTTCCCAGAAACGAGACACCTCGAGCTGGGTCTGAGCAGCAGCCATACAGAGGAGCTGAAGAACTAAAGGCTCCCCTGAGTTCACTCTGCAAAAGGAGAAGCCTTTCAGCTAGTGAGGCAGGAGAGGAAATCATGAGTTAGTTCTTAATCTGGCTAATAGCCAATAAGCAGGCTCAGGGCATGGAGAAGGGGGAGAGGGCCGCAGGGACCCATCTGGAGGGCAGCAACCTCCCAAAGCTCACAGAGCCAAGAGCCCGGGGCAAGGAGCATGTCAACCCACGGTTCCATGCAGCTGGAAGCTGTGGGAGCAGCTAGAAAGGTATACAAGGAACCATGAACCCTCTACAGACCCAGCAGGTAGCTGCCAAAAAAAGAGGTGGAGGCAGGAGCAGGTAGGAGATGGCACAAGCGACGTAAAGACAGGAACCAGAAAAGGCACAAGCTAGGCTGACAGCAACAAGGAAAAGAGTTCCAAGAGGTTACCCGGGCACGACCGGAAACGTGCCAAGAAGCAGTCACAGTGGAGGCCAAGCTGGGGTCCCTGGGCTCTGGGCTCAGCCTGGCCACAGCCGTGGCTTTGGGTGGATGTGGAGACCAACTTGGGCCTCAGTTTCCGTGACTGCACAGCAGGGTAACAAGCCCTGCTCCCCCTAAGTCTAGGCTTCCCAGGTTGGTTCTTCTAAGAGGAAGAGCCTTGTGGGGCGAAGGAAGGTGGGGGACAGAAAAGCACTGTGTGTGGGGCCAGGCATCCGGCCACGATGTGACCACCTGCAGCTCAGTGTCCTCTGTCCCTGCTCGGCCCCACGTTGAATGCCAGCACTGTTCAGAGGTCACTGGGCAGGGGCAGCGACTTCCTGCTGGCTCACACCAGGGATCTGTCTTCCTACCCACTCTCCCTGGCCCTAGTCCAGGGAAGAACGGAAAATACAATCAGTTTGAAAGCAAATATTTATACATAATGAAAAGGAAAAAGTACAGGAAGAAGCGGCAAGGTTTTTCACCTCCTTTTGGCTCTTGTCCAAAAGGAAGGAACAGTGTTTTCTGCAACTTTGATCTCGTTTGACCTAGCGTAAGGTCACAAATAAAGATATGGGTGGGAGGGGCACAAAGCAAGAAAAAAAGTTTCTGCGTTGAACACCAGAAACACATTCCACAGTCAGGCGTGTTTCAGAACTGCAGCAGACCCTAGGTCCAGATCAGGAAAGAACACGAATCACCAGAAGGTGTTATTTCTCCTGAGCCCCTTGGCCGGGCTCCCCCCAGCCTGGGGTGGGCAGAATCATTTGTTCTCAGACACTGGAGTACAAGTGTGTCCCACTGATTGGGGTAGTGGCGGTGGCCTCCATGCGGAGGGACAAATATGCAAAGTCCACGTTGACCCCAAAATTCTGTGTCCCTCACTGTGGCACCCCTGTGACCTCTAATGGAGCTGCCTGCTTCCACCAGAGGCTCGGCTGCTGCTGTTTAGCAAAGTTTTATTTATGAGAATTCAGTGGGACAACAACCCAAGAGAAAACAGTTGTGGGAGGAAGATTCTGCTCCATTAAGACACAGAACCCACCTCTCATACGGTGTTAAGAGACACGGGGTTTGGGAATCTACTGATGCTTGAAAGGCCACCCTCAAATGTTCTAGCTGCAGGCGACACCCTAGTGTGAAATACAAGGCACATGTCTGTAAGACAGAGGTTGAGAGGATATTTACAAAGCTGACCACCAACTTCCAGCCATGGTGCCTTCAGAGGTTTGCAAAACTGGCAGTGAATTATGCAAGACACACAGTGAAACACTTCTTCACAGCATCCCTAGGAAGGAAAAACATAAGAATGAATGGGTCATCCTCACCCACGCCAAAGGCTCCACTTCTGAGTGGGGAAGACCTTCCTTAGTCTCCTGGGCACCAGGGCGGCACACTCCTGAGAGGAAACCCCTGGACAGTGGGGTCAGACCTACTGGACCTGACTGCAGCTTCAACAGTTACGCCTAGTACTCTCCTGGGCAAATTACTTGTCTGTCTGACTTTCTAATTCCTCACCTTTCACGGGAGAGAGGTCTCCCCTCACCCTGCAGACCAGCAGTGGGGACTGCAGAGCATTGGTATTTAACAAACTATAGCTATCATAATCAAAGGAAGATGGGAAGGAAGGACAAACTGCTGGAAACTAAGAAATGAGTCAGGACTGCAGCGCTTTGACAGCAGCCACAATCACTGAATGCACTGAAAGAGTTAAGTCACTGTCACTGGGGCCCTCTTCATTCCTAGTGGGCAGCTTTTAAAAGGACATCTCTCAGGAGTTACTCAGCACAGGTACTGAGCAATGATGAATAGGCTCTATTTGCTCTGTGGGATTCAGGGCAGAGCGCGAGGACAGAGTGTGTCCTCCACGAATTACTGTCTCTCCAAGCAAGCCTCTCGCCTCCACAACCACACCGCTGTGTAGCATGGCACTGGGGACTCAGCCCGGCTCTGCACTTATGGTGAGGCAGGGAGAACTGAGTGACTACACTCGACTGAGCAGTGCTTGACTCTAAAGTGGCGTTTCTTGAGTGATGCACTGCACTGGAGTCCCGGGAGATAGGCAGCACAAAAGGGGTTTTAGGGCCAAATAACCCAGCCCCTCCATGGCAGCTCATGTAACCCATTAAAGGATCTGGAGAGCCAGGCAACAGGATCCTATCTAATCTTGCTTACCCTATTTCCCAAACTTACTTGATCACAGAGCCGTGGGAAAAGCTACACTAGAAGCTACAGATGGAAGAGGAGTAAGATCTAGCTTCGTGATTCCCTCCTCACAGTAAGAAATTTTCATCTGCTCATCCCATGAAACTCATTACTTGAGAAAGAACTGCATTGTTCTACCTATTCTTACACACTAGGTTTACACATGCCAATCCAGATCAAGCCAGAAGCCCTGGAGAGACATGCAGCAAGCCCAGCTCCGCGGGACAGACCCATGCTACTGTGAAGGGCTGTGCACTCAGAAGGGTCCATACTTTATACTTTCATCTCAAAATTCTAAATATTTTTTTAAAGCAACCCACAATTTTATTTTTCCCTGATCTCTGTAAATTATGTAGCTGGTTCAGGTACCAAGGTATATTCAAAATGCTGGCAGGTTGGCATGTATCTCATCAGGTGTCAGATAGGATGGGTTCTGGCTTACTTCACATAGACACCAGCTCCCTAGGACACCCTGCCCACGTTCTTCTCAAACAAGCCACTAACCTTGCCCTGAAACCGGCATGGAATGTTTTATAGGTGCTGTGCTCCAGGCTCTATGCACAAACCACCATCTGCCTTTAATGCGACAGCCTGTCAGCTTCTCATCTAATCAGTCAGCCCCCGGCACCTCCAAATCAGTCAGCTACAGACTTGGAAAACGTAAGACTGCTCTTCCCTCTTCCCAGCTCATGCAAGATCTTTCCTCAGTTAAGGAAAAGCTGGCCCAGGGATTTAGCTCAGTGGTTCCACCACCTGCTGCCCAGGTGCAAAGACCCGAGTTCGATCCCTGGTACCAAAAGAAAATTAAGGAAAAGCTTCTTTTTAGTTCAAAGGTCATGACAGAGAAGAATGGAAATTAAATGGCTGCATCAAAATGAGGGAAAAATCATTGGCCAATTCTGAGAGGCTGTTCGTGAAAGGTGCTATTTAAAAAGCCTTGAAGCATCAGACTCTGAGCAGGAAGGGGCCTGTAGGGATAATGTACTCCAACCCACTCCAGTTATCAATGCCTCCTCTGAGGTCTGAGTAGTCAGGAAAGCTGGCCAGGGCCACACTGCGAATGAGGAAGCCCCGCGCTCCAGAGCCCTGGTCCTCCTTACTCTCCCACTCTAAACTCATCTGCAACTTTCCCGGAGTGGGCTATGGCAAAGGAGCAAGTAGAGTTGAGATCCCTCCATCTCTTGCTCAGTGACATTAAACTGATGCTCACCTTTAAAAAAAAAAAAGAAGAAGAAACCCACCCAAAGCCACAGGTTAAAAGAGTGCTAAGGTACACGTATATATTTATTCACTTGATAATAGGGTAGAATGTTCCCCAAACCAGGAACCGGTAGCCTAGTCAACACCCACAGTGAGTTATATAATTAGGGTGAGTGAAGGGGTGACCCTTAGCTTACAAATCTATAAAACAGATATGTAACCTTTGGCTATTTGGTTCAAGGCATTTTAATAAATAAGATATACCCTCTGAAACTAACTCTCTAAACTAAAAGGACCTGTGTAAACATACTGTCACCCACAAATGACAGAAATTATATTTCCAAATACAGTCTTACCTTGCAAATGGAATGAAGGAGAGGCTATACCTACAAAGAAAAGCAAAGGAGATCAACTGAATGAAAGGCGTGGAAGGTCACCCAGCAGAATGGGCTTCTGAGCTCTGAAGGCCTTCAGTGATTCCTTCAGATCTGCCCTTCTCGCCTGGGTGGGGTGCGCACATGCATGCGCGTGCTCACACACACACACCCACGCACGCGCGCGCACGCATACACATGCTTATGCTAACACACTGCATCCCAGGCGGCCACAGAAGGGGGGAAAAGGCCAATGGAGAGGCAGCCTGCCCAACCTCGGCCTCCCTAGGGGAAAAGACTGCTGTCACCAGCACTGACCACTCAAAATAGGCAGAGTACAGACATCCAGGTGGCACAGGAGCCCCATTCTGAAAGATCTATAAATAAAATCCAGAACAGCTGTCCTATCATTTTATAAACCCTCACCAGAAGGTAACTTCAAACCAGTTAGGATAAATTTCTGCTGTTCCTTTTAATTTTAAAATAAATCAATGGAACACTTCTAACTACTCTATGAATTAAAATGTAACTGAGCTACAATTCTGGAAGAACCCAAGCCCCGAGGTGCCTTGGCAAATCCACACTGCCTGAAGGGGACTACGGAGGGAGCTGCTTCACCACTAAGCAGGCAGGCTCTGTGTCAGACAAGATGCAAGGAGATCAAGCCTTAAAGAGCAAAGAGTCAGAATATGATGGAGTTGAAGGGAAGTATCTTTCATTGTGCCCCTACAGATGCTGAGCCTTCAAAACTTCTGCACAATCACTCTATAAGCAAAAAGGGCCAAGTGCAGGTGGGCACCAATTTCTGCACCCTGAAGCAAACCAAACTATGAATGCAGCCATCAAAGCAGGCCTTTCAGCACCTTCTACCACTATGTGTGCGTCATCCTGAACTCAGGGCACCCCTTTCTCTGTATCTCACCCTTACCATGCACAGAAGCTCATTTATGTGTAAACAAGGTAAACTCCAAGAGGCAGTTTGAAGCATCTATTCAAAGTCCAGAATTACGAAAGGGAAGATGGGAGTTAAGCTAACAAGCTCAAGATCGACTAATACCAAACTGGAGCTCCCTGATCCTGGGGAGCTTTGATTCTTCCAGTCCTCTCTTTTCTTCACATTGTAACAAATATTTTTTTCCCGAAACAGATCACAGTCACAGCTATCCTGAGACTGTTCTGGCAGAAACATCTCTCACACTGTGAAAGTATCACAGAAATGTCTCAGGCCTACAGACTCCACACACACTTCTTCCCTTTCCCTTTGACACTGCGCCAATCTGAAGCAGCTCTGAACCTAAAGCTCCACTCAAGGTTTTGAAAACCCACGTCTCCTGCAGCCCTTTTACCAGGCTTGGCCCTTGAGTTACAATCTCCTAGCTTCACCTGAGTTCCCAAAGCCTACGGCCCAGGGCATACGCTGGTCCCACAGCCCACAGCCACCCAGCTTCCCACGTCTCAGCCTCGGCTTCGCCTCTCCTCCTGACAGCCCCCCTTGTCTTTCTGTTTCATGATTCACTCCCTCACAAGATGACACTCATTATTTCTTACTATTCTCCTTGTTTGGTTAATGTCTATTTGACGCACAGCCTCTTTGTACCAGCCCTCAGAACACTCCTGCAGCCCCAGCACTTATGGTACACGAGCGGCTGAATAACATCTGTACATCTCAAAATCACTGGTGAGCTCAGCAAAAATGCCCGTCACAGCCTCCTGTGACGGCTCAAGACAATGAATGGCCCCTGTTGGTGAGCGGCCTCTGCTCTGGAGCCGGACTTCCCTGGCATGGCTGAGAACTCTTAACCTGAAAAGCTTCTGCATTTTGCTAATCCTCCCCCTCCCATGGCACTCGGGTTTCTAGTCCCTTCGGCTGCGTTAGTCAGAGGTCTACGTGGGGGAAGACAGCTGAAAAGGTTACCTACCACGTCAAGGCCAAGGACTGTAAAATGCAGAAGATGAGGGCAAGTGCCTTTTTTTTCCACTGAAAGAAAGATACAGTTATAGAAAAGCATGTGACAAGGGGCATGAACCAAAGAGGTGATGGGAAATGAAAATACATACTTACCCAAAAGGCAGAACACAAGGTGAGTGCAAAGCACAACTAGAGGGAGAGATGAAGCATTAATTAATACATGACGATGACAATATTGAATAAAAACCCTGTACAGATGTAGCACTCTTGGCAAAAAGCACACTCACGAGACGGGGTATTCAGGTCATAGACCAAGCATTTCATAGCATTTAACCCATCCGAGCGTCCACGATTGGCAACAGAGTTAAAATCCTCCAGATATCAAACTAGCCAAACTAGCTAACCGTGCAGGGCAAGGAGAGATAATAAAATCACCTTTCCTCATCCATCCCGTTTTCATTCAGACATAAAGGAAGCTTAACACAAGTCTCTGTATTTTAACTCTTGCCAACCACTGGACTCTGGTGTGAAAGCGCATGCGAGTGTCTGAAGCATTTCTACATAAATATGGGGAAAAATCATTTCATGATTAAAGTATGACTATAGCTGTTGTTTTGGTTTGGGTCTAGATGTCCCCCCAAAGCCCTTATGCGGTCATAGGATTGATCTAGAGTATGTGAAGCTGGAATTGATTCATGGTGCCATGCTAGGCTCAAGAGCACTAGGATTAAGGGTGTGAGTGCTGCCCGCAGTAAGTAGTCTGAATACAATAAAGGGGCAGGGAGACGCTGTTAACTCTCTTCTTGCCTTTGCTGCCTTGTGTGTCCCACATTGTTTCTCCTCTGTGATGCCTGTTTGCCATCCCTGCCTGGGAGTCGGCTCATTACGGACTGAAACCTCTACAAACTGTAAGACAAATAAACCCTTTCCCCTCTAACTTTGGGTGTCTGGTATTTTGTCTCAGCAACAAGAGAAAAGTAACTAACACAGCTGTCTAAGGCCCCATGTTGCCTTTCCCAGGGCCCGGCTATGGCATGGGGAAACACAACTACGTTTTACCCTCGGTCACAGCTAAGGCCTCAATGGACTATGAAGCTGTGGCTGCTCAAAGGCAAGGTGACACCAGCTGAAGACATCTTGGTTCCTTGAGAACCCAGCAGTAATATAAAAGAGAAAGGTTTCCCCTGGGCAAAGCTGAGTTCCTTATCAGCTCAACTCATGCCACCTACTGTCCTGGGAATGCTCTCCTTTCTGCCCTCATCAGCTTGAGATTTGCATCCACATAGGATCACCGCCTGCTAAGTCACCCAATGCTCCTTCCAATTACTGTGTGTACCCAATAAATGCTGGCTAGCTCGGACAGTCTTTGTCTTTGCCCACTATGAGGAACTGACTCCCATCCCTCCCCCCCCATATACTTTGAAATTACACAAGCCTCTAATGTGTTTTTTCTCTTTAGGCCTCATGGGCTCTGATATATGAGGACAAAGGTCAACATGAGATGTTACTTGTTTACATGTCACCTGACCCTTCCTCTAAGTCCTTCCTAGAAAGCTCTTTCTGCAAGACACCTGTCTAAGCCAAGAACAGCTGGAGCTTGAGCCACCAGCTGTGCCTTCCATCTCTACCCATCAATGACAGAAACCATTCAACCAACACGTCCAGGATATGTCCTTGTTGACACGAAATCAACAGCACACGTGGTCATGGCTCTGGAGAATGTACCTACTTGAACAAGTGAGTTGTACACAATGAACTCAAGGTATGTTGTCCAAATGTCCCAATGCTGATAACTATACCAAGAGTCCAGGGAATAGAGTCTGAAATTATTTTGACAGCCACATGGAAGATTTCTCCAAAAATGGGAGGGGCATTCTGGGCTGATGGGACAGGAAGATACGGCCACACCAAAGGCACAGCTATTGGAGCACGGTACAGGGTGGAGCCTTCACTGCAGCAAGACTGATGAAAACAAGATCTAGATCCCAAAGTCATACAATGATGAGGGAAAAAAGCCTATCCTGGATGACTGGACGTCACTCTGCAGAATGAAACCAAGGGTTTCTGGGTTATTCCCTCAAAGGGCCGGGGATTTAGCTCAGTGGTTCCGCCACCTGCCTCAAAAGCGCAAGGACCCAAGTTCGATCCCCGGTAACAAAAAAGAAAAAAAAAAAGTTATTCCCTCAAAGCTCTGCCTGTATGTGGCTCAGGTGGGAAGGTGTCCAAGCTCTTACTACCATATGGATTGGCAAGTGTGGTCAGTAATGGCCTCTGTGAGTGCTTTATGGACCTGGCAGTGCCTTGACACCAAGGAGACGAAGGCAGTGGCAGGCAGGGCTGAGTATTAGGTGAAGAAAATGCTCCCTCCTTATGACTCACTGATGATTGATTTTTTTTTTTGGTACCAGGGATCGAACTTGGGTCCTTGAGCTTGCATAGCAGGTGGCGAAACCACTGAGTTAAATCCCCAGCCCCAAAATGCTCCCTCTTGCCATGGGGCTTCACCAATTGGGTAATAAGATGACAGAAGGGGTAAAAAGGAGGTCCTTAGGTTTAAGAGGGAAAACATTCCATGCAGCAGAAATAAAAACTGCCATGTAAGAAGCACAGATGAAAAGCCGAACTCACCAGCACCAGGATCGTTGCAATCAGACGCGTGGGCTCAAACATGCGCTTCAGCTGCTTCATGGGGCCCATGAGGAAGATAGTGCTAAGAGGCAAAGACACAGACACTGCTCAGAGCAGAGCAGCCCCTCTGGGCACATCACTCACACCCACACACACACCCACACACACACCCACACACACACCCACACACACACACACACAAGCTCCAGCAGCAGGAAGAGCAGGAATGGCAGCGAACGTCTGAGCAGCACGCACTCCGGGCCAACACCATGCTTACAAACCTCTCTGCTTTACTCTCATCAACTCCAACAGTGCCCCATGGGCAGGAACGATGAGTGTGCTTAGGGGGTGTGATCAAAAGATACAGCGAATGTTTAGATTTTTTAAAATTTATTCTATTAAGGCAGGGGATTTAGCTCAGTGGTTTCGCTGCCTGCTGCGCAAGCACAAGGACCCGAGTTCGATCCTCAGTACAAAAAAAAAAATTTATTCTATTAAATGACACATCACCATGAATCCCCCTCACTTCGAAAACACTTATCCTATTATTCTTGTCACTTTCTAAAGCAGTTCTGGAAGGCTTCTTTCAGGAGTGTCTTTAACTGTTCACAGTCATTTTGACTTTGGGGAAGAGCCAGAAGTCACATAGTGCCAGATCTGGTGAATTAGGTAGATAAGGACACACTGTAATATTTTTACTTGATAGAAAATGGCATAAATCTTTTGAATCAATTCAGAATATCCAGCCATGACAGCACAACTAAAGACCCTACCCTCATGAAAGAGGACTTCCAGAACGGCTCCAGAAAGTGGCAAGAATGATGGGATAAGTGTGTTTGAAGGAAAGGGGAGTATTTGAGGGGGATTAATGGCAATGTCTTTTACTGCAATAATTTTTTTAATTTAAACATTCACTGCAAACATAAACTAATACAAATTTTAAAAATTAAAATAAAAAATTAAATGCCGCATACATACAAAACAAATGGTACAGATTACAGGTAAGACCACAAACCCCTAGTTACTCCTGGGAAATAACCACTTTCTCCCTTTATGACTTCCTACACAGTGCAGTGAGAATGTGTTTCCTTAGGATTCGCTGCAGCGCTCCTGTGGACTATACCACATACCATGTAATTATGCTCACTCTAGACTGTACATTCAAACTATGATGTCTGCCTATAGCAAACCGCCCAGAAGTTAGTATTTGGGAAACCATGAGAAGCAACATTAGACGTCTCTCAGGGCCAGCACCTTGGTGTCTTGGCATTAATAAATTAACTTCAAGAAGGTGACCAGTCATGCACTCAACCATCTGTTTGACTTTTTCCAGCCAGGAGGACGTAATCAGGAAAAGCTTCCCAGAAGAGGTGGCTTTTGAGCCTGGTCTTGACAAACGAGCAAGCATCCAGCCAGCCCAGGGGCTGTAACTGAGTAGCTCCACGGCCCAGCAGGTATGGCCTCGATGTGAGAATGAAGGAGGCACAGAAACCCAGCAGAGGGACGCTGCAGGGCTCAAGGGAGAGAGAGCAGGGCCAAAGCTAAGAGCGCTCAGACACCACCTTCTCTAGGAGGCCCTGCCTGACTCCACTCAGTGGGCCCAGCTGGCCCTCCCTGGCATCCCCTCACCCTCTCCTGATTGGCACCAGTTTATACAGCTGTCTGCCACCTGGATGGCCAGTAAGCTCCCTGGGGTAGGGAATGAGCCCTGTTTATCTCTGTAGCTTCAGAGCCTAGAGCATAATCAAGGCATCCCCAGTGAGCATCAAAGCCAGTAAGTGAGGGACAAATGGCCATGGGACAAAGAGAAAGGACACGGAGCTAGGTAAGTGAGGTCAATGCCCGGCCTTGAGGAAACGTCATGGGGAGTAGGGCAGCCTGGAGCCCCAGACTTCTGTACACAAAATGACCAAGTTGAGGTTCCTGTGGGCCGCTCAGACAGAGGCCAGGCCAGATGCCCTGCCAGAGAGGTGGGACTGGAGATGAGGGGACAGGTGGGGCTCAAGCCTCAGAGCGAATGAGCTGGACCTGGGCTCTGTGCATCCCCAGTGTACACAACAGCTGCCGCCTCCAGAAAGCACCCAGCTGCGTGAGCCGACACTCTGGGCTGGGCTGGTCAGATGCTAAGTTATGACCAGGCAAGCGCTTTTAGAACCAGCCACTTGGCTCTGATGGCAGCGAGACCATAGCAACAGGGAGAATCCACCCAGATGCTCCTGCCTCAGCTCTCCCCATGAAAGGTCTCAGCGATGACGTGTTTCCCCACTTTTTCCCTGGGCACTTCAAAGACAAACTAAGACATAAAATATTTTGAAATAATATGCACCACTGTCATGCATTCCAACTACCACTTCTCTAAATCCTTACAATCGCCGGAGCATCCTCCCTCACTTCCCTCAGACATAATCCACATCTATTTTTCCATCTACCGACTGGCAAAGATTGGGTAAAAAAGTGCTTACCTCCCAATTGATGCGATGTTACCCAAGGTGTAGAACACTGCGAAGAGGGAGAGTCCCTTACCGGGCACCCATAGCAGAAAAGTTCCCTGGTAGATAACCACAGGGCATTTGCACATGAGCAACCTCTGACCACACCACACACAGGAACTCACAGGGGAACCCTCCCCATCCCTCTCTCTTTCTTCTTTTGTCTTTTCACAGTACTATGGATTGAACCCAGGGCCTTCACCCTGAGCTACACCCTCAACCCTTTTTTATTTTTAATTTTGAGACAGAGTCTTGCTAAATTGCTAAGTTCCCCGGCTTGGGCTTGAACTTGCAAGCAGGAATCCTGCTTCAGCCTCCCAGAGTGCTGGGATTACAGGCGAGTACCACCTACCACCATGCCCAGCCTTCCTACCCATGTATTTTAGTGAAGAACAGAAGAGAAAAGGATACTGATGAAAGGGGCAGAAGGAAGGGAAACCTTACCAACAGTGAGCAGAGGATTCCTATAGCAAAGCATGCGATGAATCCTTTTATCCTGGTACCCCAGCTTAATGATGATGCCTCAACCACCTGAAATGTCAAAACAAAGATTACATATGTATACTTACCAAAAACAAAGGAAGCACAAAATCAAACTTAGAAGTGGTGTTAATTTGCGCTGGAGGACAGGGAGAACAGAACCCTACAAACTGACAGGGGCAGGGCCTCATCAAATCCAGCTCTTGTCAAAACTGTAACCACCTGTCTTCTCCAGCAGGTGACACAAGGTCCCCAGGCCTCTGGCCAAGCATCTCCAGAGCTGAAGCCCCCTGCTTCGGGCACAAACAGGGAGGCCAGCCCGCAGGCCCAGGGCACCTTCTGACAGCCCAGCAGGACGAGAACCGTGATTGGGAAGGCCTGAGATCCACCGGGCAGGGCCACAGGACACAGGGTGCACCTAGGGGGCACCATCATCCTCTCCTAGGTCCAGCAGCCCAGCTGCAGCAGGTGCTGCTCCTACAGCATCTGTGGGAGCTCAAGGCAAAGCCTGGCATCCTTACCAGGGGCCTCCATGCCATTCACCCTCTGTACAGGTCCTGGCACAGGCAAATCACCCAAGTGTGAGACAGAGCCTCCATACTGCTCCGTTCATCCTGACTCTGCCTCTGAATCCCTACTGAACCCCTCCCCAGAGCAAAGTTCAGAAGAAACCAAGATTTCCAGGAAAGCCTGGGAGCAGCTGCCAATGGTTCTTTTCTCACGTTAAAGATGACAACCAAGCCTCCACTTTCCTAGGCGTCCCCATGACACAAGAGGGCACTGCTGCTCCCACCTGGATCTAAGCAGCTGCAGTGGGCAGCCAAGCCCAAGCCAGGTCCAAGCGTATTCATCCAGGGCTCCCCAGGGGGCTGGCACAGTCTCCACCCCACAAAGGGCTCGAAGCTGCCGGCCACATCCCACCCTCCTGATGAAGGAAGGTGGTGGGGGTAGAGAATGCAAGGGACGCTCAGGGACCTGTTTCCAACCTGTGAAACCGGAAGCCGCAAGAGAAGAGCCAGAGGCTCCCCCAGGTGTGGCAGGTACTGCTGTGGAATGGCTTTGCCCCACTCAGAAGAAAGGTATGTGGGTCATCAAAAGGCTTCTCTTCCCACTCCCATCTAGCCACAAGAATTGAAACGGGTTCCTGACACTCAATCCTGCACACACACAGCACCAGCAGGAGTTTGTGGCAGCAGATGACCCTGCACAGAGCACAGTCGGGGATAGCACAGTCTGGGATGGCACAGTCGGGGATGGCACAGAGCTAGGAGCTTGGCTTCCACACTGAGGACTCTCCGCCTTGAACAGTGTTTCTTCAAATCTCTCTGGCTCCAGAATGAGACACCTGACGCTCTGTTACCAGTCCGTCCTGGGCCCCAACGGAGTCACTTCTCATCAACCACAGCACCGCCCTCCAAGGTCAGGATAAAATGAAAAACCTCTCTTCCCACTGGAGCAAAAACCAACAAAGAACTTACCTTGCCAGGGTGGAAACAAAAATGGAGCTGTGTGCAGGAAGAAAAAAGTAGCAGCAGACTTAGATTGGATTTGGTACCTGAGCTCTGCTTGCCATACTCAAAGAGACCAACCTTTTTCAAAATTTTTTTTAACAGGCTATGGTTAAATATCACATTTGAACTGGCCTTGGCATTCAGAGTGCTAAATAATCTCGATGGGACAGTGAGATTCCAGCCCTTGTAAAAAATCAAATCACCAGCAAGAAGGAGCAGTTCTACCAAAAACGTATTTCCAGTTTCTACTTTCAGAAAGGAAAGTGACACTTTGGTTCCATGAGCCTGTCCAGATGAATCCATCCAAATGTTACCCTTTGTTTGCTAATATGGGGAGGGAGGTAATTTCACCATTGTGTTTTTCAGCTGGATGTGGTTCCAAGTTCTTTCACCTGAACACTTGGTCAAAGGCAGGAAGCCACTGTTCCACTTTTAAATGGACTCAGTGAAAGCAAAACACTTCTTTTTGAAAATTAGTTCAACTGATGTAAAACATCGCAGTTGCTAGAAGCTGCACTAGTGCCCGCGGGTTGGCTGGTTGGTTTGTTTCGGTTTTGGTTTTGAGGGGGGAGGATTAGAGGAGCTAACAGTACCTGGATCCAAGGTGCAGGCCATGTGTTCACCAGCTGTCCGACCGGCAGCCAGGCACAAAGATCCCTTTGCTGACAAGACTCGGAGGGAAGAAGGGTTCTTGCCAAGATGTAAAGCTATGAATTGTTCTAGAGACCGGACTGGTAATCACAACAAGGTGAAAAAAGGAATTCTGTTCTATTCCTGTGATTTAAGGTCAGATACTGTTCAAACCTGTCTTGCCCTAAGAATCCTTCACAGGAAACACAAAACATCCTTTCAAGAACAAGTGCGAAACTAGGACTTGAAGTGCGTCTATGAAGTACCAATTAGAAAACTCCTCACAAGGCTGTTTATGATTAGTCACAGCCACGCAAACTTTATATCCTCTCGGAGAGCTGGGTCTGAACTACTCAAACTTCTATGGTTTGCATCAAAATAATAAGAATTTTTAAAAACCTCCGGGGGGGGGGGGTTGTTATATAATTGAATGTGAAAAGATTTTTAAGGCCCCTTCCCCTAGCTTACCTTACCATACAAATAAATACCACCACAGAATCCTCCAGCGTTGCTAACCTCAAAACCATGGAAAATGTGAGATGATCACATTAATCGCAATATTCTAAAGGAAACCCCAACCTAGTAAGTGAAAACTAAGCCAAAACAGCCCAGAAAATTAAGCCTGTCAGCTGCAAACTGCTTCCAGGAGTTCGACTCCGGAAGGATCACCCAGTGAGACACACACAAGACTCTCACGTGAAAAGAGGAAACTGACAGCAGAATTTTAGAACATGAGAAAAGCGCCTAATCTTTTACAAATAGATGTAACATCTGCCTGCGTTTACAATAGTTAAGCCCTTTGTTGTATCTAACATGGGTATTCACCATTTGGGGTTAAAAAAAAAAAAAAAACAGCATTCTGTTTTCAAATTGTAATACAGCACTCACTGGATGATTTTCTAAATATGCAATGCCTGCATCATCCCAATGCCAACACTCGACCCCCAAGAGTCTTCAGAACGTAGAGTGTTTCTCTCTCAGCCCGGAATGCTCCCAACACCTTGCTGGCAGTCTATGGGGCACAACAAGGAGGGTCAACTGGTGTGTCAAACCGGTCAGCCCCTCTGAAGTTCAACAAGAGGGTTCAGAGAGGCCAGAAACCAATCAAAAAGAACCCCAGGAACTACCTCTGAGCCCTGACCAATGAATAAAGGCAGTAATTTAAAAAGAACCCACCAAGCTGTTGTGAAATATATATATATTTTAAAGTTGGGCCTCAATTCTCTAACACTTGATTCCTATAGTGTTAAGGTGAAGATTCGTTAAGCAAGTTGAGATTTCAGAAGCAGTGGAGGAACCAGAATTAAACAAAACAACCCTCAGAATAAAATCAGTCACAAAAGTGGGTGAGAGCAACAGGCTGAGAAAATCAGGAGAAACACTGAATTCAAGAGAGAGGGGAGACAGGTTTCCAGTTGAAAAGGTTTCCTGTTTCCAGACAGGTTTCCATCTTGCTCGACACCTTCATTTTACAGATGGAAAAACTAGCACGCCGCAAAGTAAAACGTGATTGTGTCTTCCAGGAGGGAAAACCAAAAGCAAACGGTGACAGCACCCAGAATGGAAGCAGATCATTCTGTGCGGTTCGGGCAGTCCTTCCTGATAAATCAGCAGGGAGTGCCCGGAGACGCGCGCGCCTGCAGAGTCCGGGTACTGACCCAGGTGAACGAGGGAGGCTCGGCGAGCTCACAGCTGGGCCGTGGAGTCTGACACGACGACGAGGGGGCCAGCTGCAGAAGGTCGGGGCTGGGATCGCGGGGCGTCCCGGGGTATCGCCAGGGACGGAGTGCGGAAGAGCGCGGGACAGCACAGGAGCCCCAGGAGTGACGGGGTCCTCGTGACGCCCCCGGGCAGAGGAAGGAAGCGGCAGAGCTTCTTCCCGAGAAGGTCTGGGGTCCCCGCTTTGCCCCGCGTCCGCAAGGCTCTCACCTCGGACAGGCCGCTCCGGTCCTCGGTGTCCTGCCCGCTCAGCACCTTCTTCAGCTTGTCCATCCCGAGCCCGGCTCCGGCCGCGGCCCTTCGCGCAGCCTGTTGCGCTCAGGGGACCGCGCTTCCGGTTGCCCCGCCCAACCCGGCGCGCCCCGCCCACCTTCCGGAACTGCCCGAAGAGTCGGGCTCAGGTCCACCCGGGAGGGCGTTCCCAAACACCCCTACTGCTCCTGCGCGTGCTCCAAGCCGGAAGTGCCCTCCCTTCCAGGCCAGTCATAAATCCGCTCCATGTGTGATGAGTACTACCTCGTCCGAGGTTCTGGAGAAACTAGAAAGGTGAAGTTTTGTGCAGAGTTGTGCACAAAAGTTGTGGTTAATCCACTTTGTGAGTGTACTACACGGGAAAAGACTTAAAAAATCATTTGAGGGTAACTGCAAGAAATTAAATCTGTAACAACTTTGTGAATATGTAAAATAAAATAAAGCAACACCACTATAATTCCCACTGGAAATGCATCAAGAAGTATGTTTTGGGCAAAAATCAAAGATCATTTGAACTTGGCCAAAAGGAAAGGAGTCTTGGATGGCTTTGTGTTTATTGAACGGTTTGCTATGGTTGTCGTCATGTTGAAGTGGAAATTCTACTTTTTTTTTTTTTTCCATTAAGTTTATTGGTACATTTTAGGTACAAAATTCAGTTACATTCATCATTGGGATCTTGTACCATTACATGAGTATCTTGGTTCTTATTTTTTTTCCCCTTCCCCTGCCATCCCTTCACCCCCTCCACCCTTTGCATAAATTTAACTTTGAGGGAATCTTTCTGTAATAAGAAACCCCTAGAGTGTTTTTTCATCACTGAGTGGCTTAATAACTTGTAATAAATCATTTGACCTTTTCAGAATTAAGCCCTTGATTGTGAAATAAGGAAAATAATGTTTAACTCTCTTACAAGGATAGTATTTTTGTTTGTTTGTTTTTGTTTTTTTTGTTTTGTTTT